ACTAGTAGTAGTAGTAGTAGTAGTAGTAGTAGTAGTAGTAGTAGTAGTAGTAGTAGTAGTAGTAGTAGTAGTAGTAGTAGAGTCGTAGTAGTAGTAGTAGTAGTAGAGTAGTAGTAGTAGTCGTAGTAGTAGTAGTAGTAGTAGTAGTAGTAGTAGTAGTAGTAGTAGTAGTAGTAGCTGTAGTAGTAGAAGTCGTGGTAACATTGGTATTGGTAGTAGTGGCAGAAGTAGTAGGAGTAGAAGTAGAGGTCGTAGTAGTTGTAGTATTCGTAGTAGTCGCAGCAGCAGTAGTAGTAGTAGTAGTAGTTGTAGTGTAGTAGTTGTTAGTCAGTAGTTGTCGTAGCTTGTTCGTTGTAAAGTTTCGTAGTAGTCGTAGTAGGTTAGTAGTAGTAGTAGTAGTAGTGTAGTAGGAGGCAGGAGAGGTGGGGTGAGGAGGGAGGCGGAGGTGAGGCAGGTATGGTAAGCGAGGAGGAGGAGCAGGAGGAGGACACGAGGAGGAGGAGGTGGAGGAGGAGGAGGAGGAGGAGAATGTGGAGGAGGAGGGGGAGCAGGTGAAGCGCGGCTCTGCAGACTGAAGACGGGGACCCAGCAGCGCAGGAAGGCCTGGGAACAGGATGGCGACGTGAGACGTTTCCTTTCGAAGAAGAGCATCGGCACACTTCTGATCTTTCGGAGCTCCGCGCGGATGTCTTGGATCGGCGCTGGCTCCCCCTCCCTGGCGCGCGGTGCGCGCCAGGTGCGGCGCCGTAGGCGCCGCCAGGGGCGCCCAGCGCTGACTCCAAGAGATCCGCGCGCAGCGCCGAAGGTCGACGTGCGTGCCGCTGTGTGTTCCCCTGCAGGCGACATGTCTGCTTGCAGCTATCAGGTGGTCAAGGCGAGGCGAGGCGATGCGAGCAGGGCCAGCCGCGCTCTGCACTCGCACTGCCTCCACCCCCCCACGCCTCGGCGGCGGCGCGTCGTCCCGCGAGGCCGCGTCGGGGGCGCAGGTGACGGAGGAGGCGGCGAGCTGCTTGGCGCCCTCGTCGCCGTCGCCGTCGCCGTCGCCATCTGCGCGGCGCAAGGAAGGGGTCGTCTTCGCCGCCATCGGCGCGCACACTGCCCGTGTAAAAGGTCGCGCGTAAGCGCTCTCGCTGCACATGTGGCGTGCCGCGCGGGCGACCCGCGTAAGCCACCGCGCAATGCCATCTCGCGTAAGAGCCTATGTTTGATCGCCGCTCATCTTGCAGACGAGGAGGAGGAGGAGCGGCACAGGCATCATCTCTCGGAGCCCCGCGCGGGGTTTCCCGGATCGGCGCTGGGCCCCCCCTGGCGACACCTGGCGCCGCCCCCGCCGCGCTCCGCGCGCCAGGGAGGGGGGTCCAGCGCAGATCCAAGAAGTCCACGCAGACCTCCGGACGTTTATGCTTTGCAGTTGTTCGTTCCTCTGATCGTCGCCATCGTCGCTGTCGTCGTCGTTGCCGCCGTCGTCTTCGTCGTTTTTGCCGCCCGGGCGGTCGTCGTCGTCGTCCTCGTTGTCGTCGTCGTCGTCGTCGCAGTCGGCGTCGCCCCTTGTTGCCTTCCCCCGTGGCCCCCCGCCACGTCCTTCCCACTGCAGGGTGGAGCGTCCAGCCCATTGGTGGTGGTGGAGGTTACGACGACGCCAACTGCGACAATGGACGAGACGAGGGGGAAAGAAATGTTGATCGGGGTGAAGGCGCATCTTTCTCCTCCTCCCCTCCTCCTCCTCCTTCTTCTCCTCCTCTCCTCTCCTCCTCCTCCTCCTCCTCCTCCTCCCCCCTCCTCCTCCTCCTCCTCTGCTCCTCCTCCTCCTCCACCTCCTCCTCTCTCCTCCTCCTCCTTCTCCTCCTCCTCCTCCTCCTCCTCCTCCTCCTCCTCTCTCCTCATCCTTCTCCCACCGACCCCCCAGCTACCTGCTTCAGGTCGGGTTGGGCGAGCTCTCTCTGTCGCTCTTTTTTTTTCTCTCTCTCTCTCTCTCTCTCTGTCTCGCGCAACCGTTTCAGTGGAGAGGGGCATCCTGCCGCGTTCTTAGGGGCAGGCTGTACTTGCACACCATGTCTCTTTTGCCTGAGCCCGTGAACCCAAGAGTCTCGGGTGATTCTTACAGTAGCTTTGTGATCTGTTTGTCGTCACAGGGCCTCCTGGAGGGCCGTCGTCGGCACGGCTGCATTCCTTGCGAAACCGTGGTCAGAACGAGCTCCAGGACAGGTCCAGGATTCGATTTCGAGGGGGCTCGATTCGGCCTTGATCTTCCCCTTGTTTCTTTTTCATCCCCGTCTGACCCGCCCCCGGGCCTTCTTCGGCCGTCGCTCATGCTGTCCCTCCCCTGGACGTGAAAACGTCTCTATCCTGCTGCCGCCGGCAACGCCAGACCTCCATCCGCGGCGCCCCCACCATTCCGTCCTGCACCCCGCTCTCCCCCGGTCGGTGGAGCCAGATGACTTTCGGCTCTCAAGCGAAGAGAACTGTGCACACATGCACCGATCTTGGCCAGGCCCATCCTGGGCCCAGGATCGGTGCATGTGTCTCCCTGCCCAAGGCAGGAGGGCGTATGCACAGATCCTGGGCTCAGGATGGGCCTGGCCAGAATCGGTGTATGTGCATAGTTCTCTTTCCTCTAAGTTCTAGACTGGAGGGAGCCCTATCTCATTATCGTCAAGACCATCCTGGCCCCGACCTGGACAGGGTACAAGGCAGCTCTCCCAGCGCCCCCCTGTGGGTGGGCATGGGTGCTGCGAAGCCCGCAAGAAGCAGCACCAATCGCCTCCTGGGGGGCGAGGGGGTCTGTGTGTGTGGGGGGGGGCAGGTCGGCCGACAGGGTCGAGGCTTCCCCCAGTGGGGGTGGGGGTGGCCTTCTCTGCGGGGTTTCTCTCCAGCCGCTGTGGAACCCCTTGGGGGAACATTTGGGGGAGAGAAAGGAGGAAGAGGAGGGGGAGGAGGAGGAGTAGGAGGAGGAGGAGGAGGAGGAGGAGGAGGAGGAGGAGGAGGAGGAGGAGGCGGAGGAGTCGGAGGAGGAGGAGGAGGAGAAGGAGGAGGAAGAGGAGGAAGGAGGAGGGATGAACGCGCGGTTTGGGTCGTTCTCCGAGGATGGTCTCGGGCAGCTGGGCCCGCCAGGGTGCCCAGGCCGTGCGGTGACTGATCCTGCGGTGTCTTTCGCCGCACCTGCTTCGGGCCCCCCGGTCTCAGTCCACGATCTCTCCAGCCGACCCTCCACGCGCAAGGCCCCCGCGTCGTCGCAGATGTGCCAGGCTAGCGGCATCTTCGGGCTGCCGACGTGCTGGTTTCGGCCGCCGCCCGGCCGATGATTGCCCCCGCCCTCCCCGCCCGTGCGGGCGCGCGAGGGTGTGAGGGCATAGTGGCGTCAGCGCGATTGAACCTTTGGAGGCCAGAGAGATACAACAGCATGATGCAGGCGCTTGGGCCCCAAGCAGTTGGGCAGGAGCTTGAGTGATCCCTCTGTGAGTGTGTGTATGGTGGTCTCTGAGGGCTCGGGCGCATTTAGACGCGCGCGGGGCTGTTGTTCTACGACTTTCTCCGCCGGGTCGCTGCGGGCAGGTCCGCGACGCCAGAACTATATATATACATGTGTGTGTGTGTATGTGTGCGTGCGTGTGTGTGTGTGTGTGTGTCGCTTCTCTGCGCTGGGGCTTCTGGCCCCCCTGCTGCCCCAGGCTCCCGCCCGATTCTTCTGCCTCTCGGCGGACCGCTGCGGCCTCCCTCTGCCAGGTCCTCCACGTTCTGCACCTGCCCGTCACCTCTCGCGGTACAGAGTGCTTCACCCGTCGTCCGTACTGTCGCCGTCCGTTTGATGTACGGTTGGACCGAGGTATAAGATCGAGGTCGGCTCGGGGAAGGTACCCTGATGTTTTTCGTGCATGTTGGGTGTTCTTGCGCATCCTGGGGAAGGGCACCCTCGAGTGTTCTTCGGTTTGGGCCGGCGGGAGGTCTCGTGTTCTTGAAGGATGTTCTTCTGGCCTATGTCCGGCTGCATCTCCGTGCGTCTCCACCCGCGCCACGTCTCCGCTGGTTTCAGGCGGTCAACGGCGCGTCCTTTCCTCGCCATCAAGGCCTGGATGGCTATGCTCCCCCCACGCTATCGCGGTACGTCCCCGTTGAAGTCCAGCGCCTGGTCAGCGTGTCCCATCCCCGCAATCCACGCCCGGATGGTTTGCCGCTGGCGCACACGGAATCTGCGGAGATTCCCTTGAGGGCCGGGCCGCGCGCGTACCGTATCCGATCTTTCTCCGCCTCGACGCTGCCCGCGAGGCCGCGACCGCAAACAAGTGTGTGTGTGTGTGTTTGCTTGTATGTGCGCACTGCTGCTGTTGCTGCTGCTGCCCACCAGTTGGCTACGTCTGGCTTTTCTTGGGGTTTTCAGCCCAGCGCGCGCTTCCACACAAGGTGGCGCTTGGTCTTAATAGCATCTTGCTTGGCTTCACCAAATATGTATTTGCAGCCCAGCGTCGCGTCGGAGAACAAGTGTGTGTGTGTGTGTCTGTGTGTGTGTGCATGTGTGTCTGCATGTGTGTGTGTGTGTGTGTGTGTGTGTGTGCTGATCGCTGTATGTGGAGCCCTGCGTGTGGATCATTATGTGAGGAACTCTGCGTGCGGAACCCTTCTTGTGAACCTCTCTGTGTGAAGCCCTGTGTAAAATAATGAGTGTGGAGCCTGATGTATAGGAACATCAATTGCCGAACTCTATGTGTGTATGGGGATCCCAACTTGTGTTTGTGTGCGCGTGTGTGTGTGTGTGTGTGTTTTTTTTGTTTGTTTGTTTGTTTGTTTGTTTGTTTGTTTGTGTGTGTGTTGTGTGTGTGTGTGTGTGTGTGTGTGTTTGTGTGTGTGCGAAAAGGTATGTGAGAACCACCATGTGTGGAATACTATGTGTGCAGCCCTACGCGCCCTACGCGTAGAACGCTGTGGTTGGAACCCTGTGTGTGTGTGTGGTTTTGCTCCGCCTCGACGCTGCGCGCGAGGCCGCGACCGGCCAACAAGGTGTGTGAGTGTGTGTGTGTGAGTGTGTGTGTGTGTGTGTGTGTGTCTGTGTGTGTGCGTGTGGTGGCGTCTCTGTGTCTGGACTCCATGTGTGGCGTGTGGAGCCCTGCGTGCGGAGAGCAGTCTGCGTGTGGAGCCTCTTTATGAAACCCTATGCGCGTGCAGGCCTATGTGTGAACCCACTTGGTTGGAACCCTGCGTGTGGGGTCCCACGTGTGGAGCCCTATGTGTGGAACTCAGTGTGTGGAGCCTTTCTTGCGCAGAGCCTGGGGTGTGGAATCCTATGTGTGTTGAGCCCTTTTGTGCGCAGAGCCTGGGGTGTGGAATCCTGTGTATTTTGAGCCCTTTTGTGTAGAACCCGATCTGTTATTTAATCGCTTCGCTCATTCCGCCGGCCCATGCAGTCTCATGTCTGCCGTTTGCCCGAGGGCCTGGTGTCAATGCGGCGCTTTGGGGGTTCTTTTGCCAGGCGTCTCGGGAACCTCTTGGAGGCAGTGTTGAAGCCTCTTGAGGCCCCGTAAGGGCCGTTTGGGGGTCGTTGGGGCTTCTTGTTGGGCTTCTTGGGTGGTTCTTGGGGCGTCTTGGGGGACTTATTGGCGGGATGTTGGTGGCTTCTGAGGTGCTCCTAGGGGCAGAATCCCCCTTTGGGCGCCTCTTGGGCGGTCTTGGTGCTCTCTTGTGCCGTCTTGGGGTTATCTTGGGCCGTCTTGGGCCGATTTTAGCGGATTGTTGGGCTGTCTCGGGGCGATGTTGGGGGCTATTTGCGTAGTCTGAGGCGCTGTGAAACTCGAAACGCCGTTCATGCGGGAAGTGTACATGTTCCTCTGGGAATGGGACGATTTTGATTGTAATGGCCGTCTTGGAGGGCCTCTTGAGGCTCTCTTGGGGCTTCTTGGCGGCCTCGACGGCAATTTTGAGGTCATCTTGGGCGATTTGGAACGATTGTTCGGCGACTTGAGGCCGCTTGGATTGTTTCGGGGGCGTTCCGGTGCCGCTCTGGGCGGCGTGCGGAAGCCATTGTGTGAGAGGGCGCGGTGGTGAGAAGAACAGCTCACCCCACCCGGCTTTCCGGGCTTTCCGGCGTAAGGAGGGCTTCTTCGCGGCACTTGTGAACGCTCCTGGACAGTGCTTTTTGGGCAGGTTCTTGACGCTTGTTGCAAGTCTGTAGGGGCCCCGTTGGGAGTCTACCGAAAGGAGAGCACATTGTAGCATCGCTTGCACTTGCTTGCGTGCTCGGGGGGGCATTTGGGGGGCCTCCTGGGGCCGCTTGGGGGACTCTTGGGGGCCTCCTGAGGGCCTCGTGGGGGCCTCTTGGGGCCTCTTAGGGGCCTCTTGGGGCCTCGTGGGGGCTTCTTAGGGCCGAGGGCTCGAAATGTTGTTTCGTGTTCCCTCTCTGGGGCCCCTTTGGGGGCGTTCTTGGGGCCCTTTTGGACCGTCTTGGAGGCTTCTTGGGCCGTCTTCGAGCCCTCTTGGGCCATCTTGGGGCCCTCTTGGGGGCCTCTTGGGCCCTCTTGGGGCGATCTTGGGGGCCTCTTGGGCCGTCTTGGGGCGTCGGGAAGCCGAAAAGGTGGAAGCTCCAAAATCTTTCAAAAACCTAAGGAAAAGCAATGAATTTTGCCTCCTGGGGCCCTCTTGGGAGTGCTCTTGGAGGCCTCTTGGGGCGTCTGGGGGCTATCTTGGGCGTCTTGGAGCGATCTTGTGGCATGTCGGACCCCTCGTGTACCATCTTGGGGGCCTCTTGGGGGCCTCTTGGCCTTTCTTGGGGCTCTCGGGGACGTCTCGGAGCCCTGTTGGTGCGCTCATGGAGCGCTCTGGTGGAGTCGCCCGGGGATCAGCCGGGACCCGCCCAGGGTACTTTTCGTCCGGGGACCCCCAGGGGCCGCCCCGCGCGCGCGAACTAGAGAATTGTTGACCAGTTACCGGAGATCTTAGCACGCCTCTGGCCCGTTGGGCCGGCGAATCTTTTGTGCAGAACCCGGTCTGTTATTTGTTTGGGCTTGGGCATGGGCATGAATGTGGCCCTCGTCAGAGGGCAGGCGGCAGCATGCCACCTCAGGCCTGGCTAATCCCCACGAAGAGTTCGATCAGGGTCCTCGTGGGGTATCTGGTACTCGACCCCCTCCCTGCTTCGCCATTCTTTGCAGCCCGCACGGTCTTCACCTCGAGCCTCCTCAAGCCTCTGGTTGAGCGCCCATACTGCCTGCTCCTTCTCCCCACGCTCGAGAGGGACGAGCATAGGAGACGATCTAGGAAGGGCAGGATCAGCGCGTCATCGGACATGGCCGACTCGAATGTGCTGGACAACTTTTCAATCTTCGTGCTCGTGACGTCGCTGTTGGGTAAGCTTCCCCACTCAGAGCTTGCCACTGTAGGGGTCCTAGTGGATTCATAAGGATAGGTGAGGTTCGCCGCTGATTTCCCAGGTGCCCAGGTGCCCGGGTGCCCGGGTGCGTCTTTGTGCTCAGATTGTGCCCCTGGCCCATGGTTTCCAACGACAAAATCATTTTAAGACTCTTCGCTCTTGTCTGCTCTGTATTTCGTGCAGCCCCTAAGGCAGGGGAAGAGAGGACGAATGGAAGGAACGGACAAGGGGCAGGCGGGTTGCTGAAGCGTGCGTCCTGCGTGAATCGCGAGGAAGTTTCGAGCGATACCGCGATTCCAAAGTAAATCGTTAGAAATCCACAGCGAGAGCGTGATTCCTGAGTGTCGAGGGCGCGGCGTCTGAATCAATTGCGAAAAAGTCCCACGCGAGAGCGCGGTTCCTGTATAATTTGTAAGGACTTCTCGCGCGAGAGCGCTATTTGGACATGAATTGTGAGGAAGTCTCAGGCGGAGCCCATGTGCGCAGCCCATGTGTATGGAACATAACTCGTTCTACTTTGTATATGGAGCGGTATGTTCTGGACCCCTCTGTGTGCGGATCCTCTTGCGAACAGAGCCCCACATGTTTGGACTCCTATATGTGGATTACACTGCGTCTGGAATCCCGCGTACATGTGGTGCGCTATGTGTGCGCAGACCCATGTGTGTGTGAATCCCTATGTGTGGATCTCGAAGAGTGTGTAACCCATGTGTGGAGAACCCTCTGGGCGTGGAGTTTGCAGCCACGTGTGGGCAACAAGAGCCCATCGCGGAGCCCAATTGGTGGAACCCCATGTGTGGAAACCTTTTTTGCATAAACCTGTATGCCTGGAAGCCTATGTGTGGAACCTTACGCGTGCGGAGCATTGTGTGCAGTCCTACTGTTGGAAGTCTATGTGCGGAACCTTCGTGCGCGAAACCCTATGCGTGCAGAACTCCGTGTGCGCGGGACCCTTCGTGTGGATTTTTGTGTGGAACCCCATGCGTGGCTAGCCCCACACGCGGGCTAATGTGTGCGGAACCCGATGTGTGTAGATCCCGATTTGTGTGGTTTGGAGCCGTTTGTGCTCAGACTCGCATGCGTTTGTGGAGGGAGTCCTGTTTGTGTGGGACCTTACGTTTGGGGAGCCCTATGTGTGAAAGAGCGTGTTCTACCGCTGCTGGCGGAAAACCGGGGGGGGTCACTACCGGTTCGAACCCCTCCCCCCCCCCCCCCCTCCGGAAAACCGGGGGGGGTCACTACCGGTTCGAACCCCTCCCCCCCCCCCCCCAGCTCCCTGGAGGGGGGGGGGGTCACTACCGGTTCGAACCCCCCCCCCCCCCCCTCGAAAACCGAGTGGGGGTGCGGACAGTGGTGGGGATGGTGTTGGTGGGGACAGTGGTGAGGGTACAGCGGGACAGTGGTGGGAACAGTGGGACAGTGGGACAGTGGTGGGGACGGTAGTGGTGGGGACAGTGGTGGGGAGAATGGTGGGAACAGGGGGGACACTGGACAGTGGTGGGGACTGTGGTGGTGGGGACAGTGGTGGTGAGGACAATGGGAATGAGGTGGAAACAGTGGGATAGTGGAGGGTACAATAGTGGTGGGGACAGTGGTAAAGGCGGTGGCGAGGACGGCGGTGGGACAATGGGACAGGTACAGTGGGGACAGTGGTGGGGACAGTGGGGACAGTGGTGGGAACAGTGGGACAGCTCAGTGGGACAGCAGCGAGTCAGTGGGACAGTGGGGACAGTGGGGATAGGCAGTGGTTGGGTCCGTGGAGACAGTGGGGAGAGTGGAACCGTGGTGGGAACAGTGGTGGGAACAGTGGGGACAGAGCGACAGTGGTGGGGGCACTGGTGTGGACAATAGGGACAATAGGGACGGTGGTGGAACCAGTGGGGACAGTGGTGGTGAGGACTGGTGCTGGGAACAACAGTGGGGGATGTGATGCGAGCGCTGGTAGGGACCGGGAGTCGTTTGCTGGCGGTGCGTGGGAGGGGGGGGGTCGGAGGGGTGGGGGGGGGGGAGGGGTTCGAACCGGTAGTGACCCCAGAGAGGGGGGGAGGGGGAGAGGGGTTGGGGGAGGGGGGGGGTTTTGCCGGGGGGGAAGGGGGGGGGGGTTCCAGCAGGGGGGGGGATTTTAGGAGGGGGGGGGGGGAGACCCCCGGGCTCCGGAGGAAAAGGTTGGCAATTTTCCACAGTAAAGCGGCGGTGGATCACGCTCTCTCCTATGTGTGGAACCGTACTGTGTGTGTGGAGCCCTGTGTGTCTAATGGCAATCGCCAGAAACGAACCTGGAGAGCGGGGCCAGTCACCTTAGGGCGTGGTTAGGACGAGGACAAATCCGTTCCAGAGCGTTCCCGCCCGAATGCTCTCAGAGCGTTCTGGAACGTTCTGAGGAGGCCGCGGCGCCCGATACATCCTCCAGACCCGCCAGATCTCAGAGATTGTCGATTTATCCTCACCCAATTTTATCCTCGCCCTGGCTTCGTCTTAACTTGCAGCACGAGCAAGCATTGCCAAGGGCAAGCTCTTGACGTCCGCGGACGGCAGATCTTCGCAGGCGCTTCACCGCCTCCCCGCACTTCCAGCGGTGCACTGTGTGTGGAGCTCTGTCTGTGTGGAGCCCCCTGTGTCTGTCGGCAACCGCGAGAAACGAACCCGGAGGGCGGGGCCGGTCACTTCCAGCACAATCAACCATCGCGAAGGGCAAGCATGTTTTCGCAGGCGCCTTCGTGGCTGCCCCTCGTTCGTCCCACCTGCCTTGCGGCACTCACATCCGCATCTGGTTGGGTCCTTCGCCGGATGGTTGTTCTCTGGGAGGGTCTGAAACCAATCTATTTCATCAGCCTTCCTACTCCATGCCTCTACCTACTTCCTACCGAACGCGTAAGGGCAAGCTTCTGACGTTCACGGACGGCAGATCTTCGCAGGCGCGTCGCCGCCTCCCCGCACTTCCCGGTGGCGCCTCGAGAGTGCCTGCCCTCCCCGCGCGCTGCGAGCGCCGGGAAGGGCAGGCGGAGAGGGTCGGCACTAGCGGAGATTGGCCGTCCGTGGAGGTCCGAAGTTTACGTGCTGGTCTTCGAAAGTAGGTGTTTTTTGGTGGATTCCAAAGTCCCAATTTGCTTTGGGCGCTGTCCTACTTCAAGAGTGGAGTGGTCTTCCCCCTTCCCTCCTCCTCATGGGGGCGGGCGGGAGCCGAATCTACTTCCAGTACCTTCTTACCCGCCGGTGGTTGAAGGTCGGTATTTTTGGATTTCCAGACCCCAAATCTGCTTCAAGCGCCTTCCTACTTTGCGAGAGTCGATCTGATTTTGCTGTGCTCTGTTCTTTTCTGGGAGGGCCTGGACCCAATCTGCGTTACCCGCCTTCCTGCGTCATGTTTTTACCTGCCTCTTCCGACCGACGGGTCCCTTTCTGTGTGCTCTGCCGGCCTCCAACCAAAGAGGCCGCAGGCTGTCGCGACCCAAAGAGGAGGCTCGCCAGCGGATCGGCGACCCGTGGGTCGCCAACGAGCGATCCATGGCCATCGCTGCACTGGGGGGTTCACAGCGACGCGTGGTGACAGGCTCGCCTCCCCAGTCAGACGATCTGGGTACTGTTCGGTTGCAGCTCCTGGGAGGTCAAGTTCTGATTTTGCCCTGGTCCGAAATCCAGCTTAATCCGGCTCTATCCCGCACAATCCGGCTTAACCCCGCCTAATCCCGCTTAATTAATCCGGTTTGATCCCAATTAATCCGAGGCCCACTCCGGCGCAACAGCCCCCCAATGGGGCTCAATTCTCTTAAATCCTTCCGACGAAGACCCCTCTTTCGGGCCCTCCGAGGCCGTCTCGGATCCCTTCGAAGCCCTCTTCGAGGCATGCTCACCGAAAAACTGAGGAAGCCACGCTTGGGGCCTCTCCGGCCACGTTGGAAAATCTACGAGGCCTCCAGGGCCGTGCCCGGTGGGGCGGCGGCGTGCCCGGTGGGGCGGCGGATCGCTTCGCTCATTCCGCCGGCCTATTTTGCGCATCGCTGTCGGCTGGCCGAGTGGTTGTTTGCAGTGCGGGGAGCTGCGGGAGCGGGGGCTGTTTTCCTGATGCGTTGCGTAATTATGATGTCGGGGCTGGTCTCGCCTCTGGGATGCCTGCACGCTGGCCGCCTGGCTCTCCTGGCAGCTTCTGCAGCCAGCCTTCAGCCCCGGGCGTTCCTCAGCCTCCCTCGGCGGCAGCCTCGGCAGCCGTGAGTGCGCTCGCTGGGTAATTGGGCTTCGCCCGCAGCCCGGGTCGACCTTTGTCGCCGCCTGCGCCTTCGCTTGCGGCTGCGAGCAAAAGTATGATGTTGGGGGAGGCCTCTTGGGGTCTTCTAGAGACAATCTCTTGAGAGGCCTCTCGGGGGCGTCTGGGAGGCATTTTTTGGCCTCTTGGGACCTCTTGGGGGTCTCTCGGGGGTCTCGTCGGGCTTTTTGAAACCGCTTGGGAGCCTCGTGGGGCCCCTCGGGGCCTCTTGGGAACCTCTGGGGGCCTCTCGGGGGCCGCTTAGGGGGGGCCTCTTGGGGGGCCTCTTCGGGGCCTCTTGAGGGCATCTTGATGGTTTTGAGGGGCCTCTTTGGGCCTGTTGGCGCTGTTTGGGGCATCTTAGGGGCCTCTTGGTCTATCTCGGGGCTCTCTTGAGAGTCTCCTGGGCCGTCTTAGAGAGATTTTTGACGCCTCTCTAGCTGTCTCGGACGGAAAAAATTGAGAAGTATTAAACATGTGAGTTATCCGAAAGGAACGGAGAGATTTTTGCTTGCCGAGGCTTCCCAGACGCCTCTTGGGGACCTCTTGGGCCATTTCGAGGCCATCTTGAGCCCTCTTGGAGCGCTCTTGGACCGTCTTCGGGTCCTCCTGCATCTCTCTGAGGCCGTCTTGTGGGCATAGTAGGCCGTCTGGGAGACTTCTGGAGCCATCTTGAGCGCCAGTGGAGCGCTCTGGGATACCTGGAAGGCCGCACCCAGGAACAAAGCCATCTCTGATCCGAGTCTGCCGGGGTTCCGGGGGTACTTTTCGTCCAGGGACCCCAGATGCGGCCCCGCGCGCGCGAACTAGATAGATACACAATTCACCTGTTCACGGGGATCTCAGCACGCCTCTGGCGCGCTGGGCTGGCGAACTCCAGCTTTTTGCATGCACGGGCCCACGCGGAGACGTACCGTTTAGAGGGAGGGGTCTGCTCGATGGCAACCATCGCCGCCAAACAGCTGGCAAACACAAGTTTCAAGACAGCGCACACTTGTGATCACAAGCCGATCAGACAGATCGAGCACCGACTTCTGCCCTGCCTGTATGATGGGGAGCTGCACCCTGCAGCTCCAGCGTGGGCGCGCCCACGCCGCGCCCGTCCACTTCGGCGCACCCCCGACGAGGAGCGCGGCCGCACAGGGAGCTCCATCCTCGGTCTCTCCGGGAGGAGGAGGAGGAGGAGGAGGAGGAGGAGGAGGAGGAGGAGGAGGAGGAGGAGGAGGAGGAGGAGGAGGAGGAGGAGGAGGAGGAGGAGGAGGGCGCGCGCGCTGCGGCGCGCTCCTTTCGACGCCCCCCTCGGCAGCACCCTGGCCCCGCGGGGAGCCTCACCTGCGGCCCCTCGGTGAGCTCTCCGGTGCACGCCGTGGCGCGCTCACTTCGGCGCCACCCCCCACGAGGATCGTGGCCCCAGGGTGAAGTCGGGCCTGTCCCTCTACAGGGGGAACGTTCAAAACTAGTTTAAACATAGCCGGGGGATTATCGTTTGAGTATTTTTGGGCATCTCTTGAGCATTTGCGTTTTTGGAGTACCTTTTTCTTTTTGGTCGAAAATTCCTCTGTGGGGCCCCAGGGGGAGCACACGCCGCGAACAGTTCCACCTGTGGTCTCCGCGGGTGCAAGCGCCGCGGCGCGCCCACTGCGGCGCACCCCTCGGCAGCACCGTGGCCCTTGAGAGGCTCCACCCGCGGCCTCCGTGGACACAAACCGTGTGCTGCGGCGCGCTCATTTCGGTGCGCCCCTCGCGAGGATCGCGGCCCCACGGGGCTACGGGCTTCGTTGGCGCGCGCGCGCATGCCACGGCGCGCCCAATCTGGCACACGCTTCTCACGTTTCGTGCCCCGATGTGGAGCTCCGCTTGCGGCGCAGTGGGCGCGCGCGCGAGCCGCTGCACTTTCACTTGTCTTGTGCCCCCATCTGGGGCGTTCCACGTACGGCGTCAGCGGGCGTGCGAGCATGCCGCGGCGCGCCCATGTCGGCGGGCCGTTCACACGCTTCGTGGCCACATAGGGAGCTCTACACCTCAGTGGGCGCGCGTGCGTATGCCGCCCTACGCCCATTTTGGGTACCCTCGCACGCTTCGTGCACATGCATGGAACTCAATCAACGGCTTCAGTGGGGGTGGTTGTATGCCGCCTCGCGCCGATTTCGGCACACCGCTCACACATTTCATGCTCCACATGGGCCCGAACTCCATGCATCCTGCGGCACGGTGTGTATGAGGAGGGGGCCACGCCCTGTCGCTACACGCAGCTGGACGTGGTTGGGCCCTTCGCCAGGCTAATCCTGCAGGGAAGCGACGTGAGAGCGCGAAGGCAACGGGCGAAGCGCGAAATTCGGTGACTTAAGAGTGTCCCCTGCGCTGACCCGCCCACAGCTGAACCCTCGGCCCCAGCCAGACTGCGCGAGCCGGCCACCGAATCTCCCCAGGCAGTAACGCGGCCCAGCGAGGGCCAATCGGGGCATGAGTACTGCTGTGTTGCTGGTGTCGTCGAGTTGAAGCGGCTGGAAGAGAACACCGCCGAAGGAGGAGGAGGAGGAGGAGGAGGAGGAGGAGGAGGAGGAGGAGGAGGAGGAGGACGAGGCGGCGGGGACCGAGCGAGCACCTCACATCTTCTTCGGTTCCGCTCTTGTCCGGGCCTGCTCCCCGCCCGAGGGAGCCACGCGCCGACGCGCCGGAGGGAGCCACACGAGCTCCCCCGGACCACGCCGCTGCACAAGGCGCTGCGTGGAGGTCCGCCATGTGATCGTTTTCCTATTCCTTGTTCTGCCGATCGGTGCGGGCCCTCGCATCCCTCCCCCCCCCCATGGAGAAGATTTTGGCTGCTTTTGGCTCCTGTTTCAATCCGGTGGGGTCTCCCCCATAGGACGCACTGCTGCAAACAGTTGTGTGAAGCAGAGGTCTGGAGGCAGACTCCCCCCTCCCCCCCCTTCCGCCCAATATTGAAACGCCGAATAAGAAAACGTTCACCATCCTGGGCTACGAGCGCTTCAGTCGGTCAGACGGCGACCTTCTGGCGCCGAAGGCCTGTGGTGGTCGTGGGCGAGCCCACCGGCCGAGCATGGAATCCACCTCCACCGCTTCGGAGCTCGCCTGGAACCACGGCGAGTGGTGGACGTGGACATCTTCCCTTCCCCGCGGGCGGGGAGGTAGCCATTTCTGGCCACCTACATGGGGTCCGAGGAGACGGGGTCGGAGCATCGCGCTGCATCTCCGAAGCGGCGCGATCTGTAGCACGGCTTTCTCCATCTCGACGTCGTCGGCGCATCGCCGATGCATCGGCGATGGGTTTCGATCCTCCGTCCACGTCTACTTTGGCCCCATGTGGCCGGCCCCCATCCACATCTACCGCCCCTCAGTTGGCGGTGCGCCCAGGGGAAGGTAGAGAGGGCGGGCCTTCTCAGAAGGCGGCGGGGCTTAGGACCGGGCCGAGCGAAATGGGGGGGATGGGGGAAGGGGGGGTTACGAACCCTGCCGCAAGCAGCTGGCTTCGGCCCCGCCGCCGGGCCCGTTCCTCGATACCCGGGCGCCTCCCGGCGCCGGGGGGCGCTGGGAAAATCAGCTACGTGAGCTGATTCTCTACCCCCTCTAGCCCCCTCTCGCCCCCTCTCGCCCCCCCCCCCTCTCCCTCTACTCGCCCCCTGATTCTCTACCCCCTCTAGGCCCTTTGCTGTCCCCCCCCCCCTCTCGCCCCCTCCGATAGGAGGAGGCTCGGAAGGCTTCCTCGGAGGGCGGCACGGGCTTCCCGGGAAGCCCCGCCGCCTTCGAGGCGGCCCGCCTCCTCTGCCTCTTCCAGCAGGGGGCGCGCCGCCGACGGCGGGAGGAGGAGGAGGAGGAGGAGGAGGAGGAGGAGGAGAGGAGGAGGAGAGGAGGAGGAGGAGGAGGAGGAGGAGGAGGAGGAGGAGGAGGAGGGGGGAGAGGAGGAGGAGGAGGAGGAGGAGGAGGAGGAGGAAGAGCACGATGAGAGGAGGAGGGGGGGAGGAGCGAGGAGGAGGAGGAGGGAGGAGAAGAGCACGATGAGGAGGAGGAGGGGGAGGAAGAGGAGGAGGAGGAGGGAGAAGAGCTGAGGAGGAGAGGAGGAGAGAAGGAGAGGAGGACGATGATGATGATGATGATGATGATGATGATGATGATGATGATTCTGATGATGATGATATGATGATGATGATGATGATGATGATGATGATGATGATGATGATGATGATGATGATGATGATGATGATGATGATGATGATGGATGATGATGATGATGATGATGATGATGATGATGATGATGATGATGAACGACGACGACGACGACGATGATGATGATGATGATGATGATGATGATGATGATGATGATGATGATGACGATGATGATGATGATGATGATGATGATGATGATGATGATGATGATGATGCTGATGCTGATGATGATGATGATGATGATGATGATGATGATGATGATGATGGTGATGGTGATGGTGATGGTGATGGTGATGGTGATGGTGATGGTGATGATGATGATGATGATGATGATGATGATGATGAGGATGAGGAGGAGGAGGAGGAGGAGGAGGAGGAGGAGGAGGAGGAGGACCAGTGTAAAACCAAGAGTCATCAACGATGTTGGAATTACCCCTCCCTCCAAGCTCCCTCCAAGCTCCCTCTTTCCATTGAGGGAACTGCCTCGTTGGAAGACAACTGTTTGAGGATCCTGGATCATTCTGGCGCATTGTCCTCGGGATTTCAACGCCACGTTACAACCTGACCGCTGCGTCTTGACGAGCCGAAATCGTGCCAGAGCGTTATTTTTGGGAGTTCGACACCGCGAATCAGAATAACCGTTGCACCCGCATAATCCTGAATCCTTGTAAACATCATATCTGGTACGTTGATCATGGTAATCGGTGAATCTTGTGCAAGTTTTGAGAACGAATGTGCGCGGCGCTAAGGCGAGAACCACATTTTGAAAAGGAGCAGCCCTCAATCCGTGAAGCTCTTGCATTTTTTTTTCGAGCGAAGGTGCGCGGCGCTAAGACAACCGTTTGAAGACCTTAAAGCATTCCATCCAACACGTTGTTCTCGGGATTTCAACGCCACCGACCAACCTGGCTGCTGCGTCTTGACGATCTGGAACCGTGCCAGAGAGCCACTGTTGGGACTTCAACACCGCAAGCCAACTTATGTTTTGCACCCACATCGTATGGAATCTTTACAAACCGCCATTTTCCTCAATCCGTGAAGCTCTTGCAATTTTTTAAAGTGAATGCACGCGGCGCTGAGGCGAGAGCCACACTTTGACAGCCACCCGCCCTCAGTCCGTGAAGGTTTTGCATCTTGTTTTGAACGTATGTGCGCGGTGCTAAAGCGAGAGTCTCATTTTGAAAACGGCCCGCCCTCAATCAGCGAAGATGTGGTACATGTGTAGAACGAATGTGCGCGGTGCTAAAACAAGAGCCACATTTTGAACACGACCCGCCCTCAACCCGTGAAGCTCGTGCAAATTTTAGAACGGATGTTCGCGGCGCGAAGGCGAGAGCCACATTTTGAAAAAGGACCCGCCCTCAGTCCGTGAAGCTCTTGCAGTTTTTTACAGTGAATGCACGCGGCGCTAAGGCGAGAGCCACATTTTGAAAACCACCCGCCCTCAGTCCGTGAAGGTTTTGCATCTTGTTTTGAACGTATGTGCGCGGTGCTAAAGCGAGAGTCTCATTTTGAAAACGGCCCGCCCTCAATCAGTGAAGATGTGGTACATGTGTAGAACGAATGTGCGCGGTGCTAAAACAAGAGCCACATTTTGAACACGACCCGCCCTCAACCCGTGAAGCTCGTGCAAAATTTAAAACGGATGTTCGCGGCGCGAAGGCGAGAGCCACATTTTGAAAAAGGACCCGCCCTCAATCCGTGAAGCTCTTGCAATTTTTTCAAGCGAAAGTGCGCGGCGCTAAGGCGAGAGCCACATTTTGACAACCACCCGCCCTCAGTCCGTGAAGGTTTTGCATCTTGTTTTGAACGTATGTGCGCGGTGCTAAAGCGAGAGTCTCATTTTGAAAACGGCCCGCCCTCAATCAGTGAAGATGTGGTACATGTGTAGAACGAATGTGCGCGGTGCTAAAACAAGAGCCACATTTTGAACACGACCCGCCCTCAACCCGTGAAGCTCGTGCAAATTTTAAAACGGATGTTCGCGGCGCGAAGGCGAGAGCAACATTTTGAAAAAGGACCCGCCCTCAATCCGTGAAGCTCTTGCAATTTTTTCAAGCGAAAGTGCGCGGCGCCAAGGCGAGAGCCACATTTTGAAAACCACCCGCCCTCAGTCCGTGAAGGTTTTGCATCTTGTTTTGAACGTATGTGCGCGGTGCTAAAGCGAGAGTCTCATTTTGAAAACGACCCGCCCTCAATCAGTGAAGATGTGGTACATGTGTAGAACGAATGTGCGCGGTGCTAAACCAAGAGCCACATTTTGAACACGACCCGCCCTCAACCCGTGAAGCTCGTGCAAATTTTAAAACAGATGTTCGCGGCGCGAAGGCGAGAGCCACATTTTGAAAAAGGACCCGCCCTCAATCCGTGAAGCTCTTGCAATTTTTTCAAGCGAAAGTGCGCGGCGCTAAGGCGAGAGCCACATTTTGAAAACCACCCGCCCTCCATTTGCGAAACCGTTGCCACTTTTTCCCAACCCTCCTTGGTTGGGTATTCGTTTTGAATAGAGGGGTGTGGTCGCGTCCTCCTCCTCCCGCATCCCGCCTCCTCCTGCCCTCTCTTCGCCGACGATGGGGGCTGCGATACGCGACACTGTCGCCACGTTCGAGGGCTGCTGGAGGGTCCAGCGGAGTGAGGCACCGCGCAGATCTGAGCGGGACCTCGCCGTGTCTGGGGGGCTGCGATCTGCCACCTTCGAGGGCTGCTGGTGGGTCCAGCGGAGTGAGGCACTGCGCAGATCTGAGCGGGACCTCGCCGTGCCTGGGGGGCTGCGATCTGCGGAACTGTCGCCACTTTCGAGGGCTGCTGGTGGGTCCAGCGGAGTGAGGCACCGCGCAGATCTGAGCAAGACCTCGCCGTGCCTGGGGGGCTGCGACCTGCGAAACTGTCTCCACTTTCGAGGGCTGCTGGAGGGTCCAGCGGAGTGAGGCACCGCGCAGATCCGAGCAAAACCTCGCCGTGCCTGGGGTGCTGCGACCTGCGAAACTGTCGCCACTTTCGAGGGCTGCTGGTGGGTCCAGCGGAGTGAGGCACCGCGCAGATCTGAGCGGGACCTCGCCGTGCCTGGGGGGCTGCGATCTGCGAAACTGTCGCCACTTTCGAGGGCTGCTGGTGGGTCCAGCGGAGTGAGGCACCGCGCAGATCTGAGCGGGACCTCGCCGTGCCTGGGGGGTTGCGATCTGCGAAGCTGTCGCCACTTTCGAGGGCTGCTGGAGGGTCCAGCGGAGTGATGCACCGCGCAGATCTGAGCAAGACCTCGCGGTGCCTGGGGGGCTGCGATCTGCGGAATTGTCGCCACTTTCGAGGGCTGCTGGTGGGTCCAGCGGAGTGAGGCACCGCGCAGATCTGAGCGGGACCTCGCCGTGCCTGGGGGGTTGCGATCTGCGAAACTGTCGCCATTTTCGAGGGCTGCTGGTGGGTCCAGCGGGGTGAGGCACCGCGCAGATCTGAGCGGGACCTCGCGGTTCCTGGGGGGCTGCGATCTGCGGAGCTGTCGCCACTTTCGAGGGCTGTTGGCGGGTCCAGCGGAGTGATGCACCGCGCAGATCTGAGCGGGACCTCGCCGTGCTTGGGGGGCTGCGATCTGCGAAACTGTCGCCACTTTCGAGGGCTGCTGGAGGGTCCGGCGGAGTGAGGCACCGCGCAGATCTGAGCGGGACCTTGTCGTCCCTGGTGGGCTGCGATCTGCGAAGCTGTCGCCACTTTCGAGGGCTGCTGGTGGGTCCTGCGGGGTGAGGCACCGCGCAGATCTGAGCGGGACCTCGCCGTGCCTGGGGGGCTGCGAGCCTCACGAATGTCGCTCGCAGACGTATCTGCGCCCATGTCACGTCATCACCTCCGTATAACGTCTCCCAAGCTATTCAGCCCCCTCATTGCGCAGGGGTTGGGTACGTCGCCAGGGTGATTAAGCTTCAGAGCCGTGAATTGCGAGGAAGTCGCATGCGAAACGCCTGGCCCGCCCTAACAACTTGTTTCGGGGTGCGACAGGGGGATCTCACTTATAACGAAGGAGTGGATGATGATGATGATGATGATGATGATGATGATGATGATGATGATGATGATGATGATGATGATGATGATGATGATGCTGATGCTGATGATGATGCTGATGCTGATG